AAACAAATGAAAACTACAGACAAAAGTTTATTTTCTCCATCAAGACATTCATTTCTGTAGTTCACTGCTACCAGCAAGCAGAATTTTTTTCTCCTGTTGATGACCATGTTGGCTGAAACTAGTCGAGGAATCTAAATGAAATAATAATAAAAACGAAAGAATATTAACATCCACCCTATTGTGTCTGAAGATTTTAATTCTTTAATTTTTTTTATTGTTCAATATATATATATATATATATATATATATATATGTGTGTGTGTGTAAGTTTGTGTGTGTATAAACGTGCAAATGTGTGTCCCTGTGTGTTCTGATTCATTTGTCGATCGATTTACTGATTGATTAATTGATTAATTTGATTGGGAACGTGCCAGTCGTTATTATGGATGTAAATGTCTTTTTTGCAGCTTGGGCATATAAAATAGTTTTTGGTAAGTGGGCTGGACAAGTATTCTTTCTGCTATTGTCTTCGCTATCAGCCACCGTGATTGCCAATAACAAGATTTTTGGGCCGAGATACCCGGCGATTGTACAGAGCTCAGGAAAAAAAATGGACCCACGTCTTTATTACATTTGATACTAGATTGCTTTTAATCGTTGTTAAACTAGTAAAATAATTGAGATTGACATGAATGCATTTTTTAAAAAACTATTATTCTCCAAGACCAAACACTAAAAGCCAGGCAAGATAGAAGGTTTAGAGAGCCATGTTGTTGTATTGTGCATATGTAGGATAGATAACCGTTGACTATAGACATGAAGTGGGCGAGATTATAGGGATTGGAGATACGTCCACTTGGGAGTGGTTCTTAGGAAGAAGCTGTCTGGGTTGACCTCCCTTCTTACCACTCCAATACGAAAGGAATGAGTGATACGATCCTGTATAAGTGGTATCGCCGATCTTTACTGTAAAAGTTTGAAATAGTGGAACCTGGAATGTAGTTCATCTGAATAATTGCTATGAAAGCATACAGTATTGGATATCATGCGGTGTTTCGTCTCCTGGAAAAAGGTTGTGGGAGTAGAAAATAATTCATCGCCTACAAGGCCGCGTAAACGTTTTTGAACTCTCTCAAATCTGGAAAGAGAATGCTAGACATCTCCAGTCTAGTTTGGTTTGGTTCATTTTTTTTTTACGACTTATCAACCTCAGTGGTTTGTGTAAGGCCGACAAGATTTTTAGGATAGTTTCGTATGACTAGAATATGTATTCTTTGTAAGAAAGAAATCAGTTTGGAGATTAGGTTTCATTGACGTATTTTTGTAAAGAGGATTCCTGTCGAGAGTCTGGTTTCATTGACGCATTCTTAGTTTGGTTTGGTTTATTTTGTTTAACGGCTTATCAACCTGACTGGGTAATTTAATGCCGACAAGATTTTTAAGATAGGTTCGTATGAGTCGAATATGTATTCTTTGTAAGAAATCAGTTTTTAGATCAGGTTTCATTGACGTAAAGAGGGTCTTTGTCGAGTGTTTGGTTTGGTGTATTTTGCTTTACGGCATATAAAACTCAATGCGTTATTTAATGCTGGCAAGATTTTGAGGATACGTTCTTATGAATAGAATATATATTCTTTGTAAGAAATCAGTTTGTAGGTTAGGTTTCATTGATGTATTTTTGTAAAGAGGGTTTTTGTAGAGTGTCTGGATTTATATATTTTATTTTACGTCATATCAAACTCAATGTGTTATTTAATGCTAGCCAGGTTTTTAGGATAGGTTCGTATCAATAGAATATGTATTCGTTGTAAGAATCAATTTTTAGATCTGGTTTCATCGACGTATTGTTATATAGAGGATTTTATGGAGAGTCTAATTTCATTGATATATTCTTGGTTTGCTTTGGTTTATTTTGTTTTACTTCATATCAACCCCAATGGGTTATTTAATGCCGACAAGATTTCTAGAATAGATTCGTATAAATGGTCTAATATAGTTTAGATAAGGTAGCAATAATTCATTTCTAGTCTGAGTTTTGTCCGAGAAAAATGACACGAAGCTTTTATTATGACTTGAATCTGCTCCAATTATTGTCCTCGTCTCAGCAACAACGTGTCAGTATATTGCAACAATAGCGACTGTTAATCGATTGTCTAGGGACGATTGATTTTTTTTGCTTTGTTTTCTTTCTGTTCATCCAAGCCTAACTTCTTACTGACCTAGATGGAGGCCAGATCAATTAGACCGGAGCCAGGGTCGAACGGAAGTTAATATCGCTCAGCAATAGAGAGCAACGCTCTGTTAATTGACACGAAGGATATCGTCAACGTGTGAACCAATTTGACCTTGATCGTTACAACTCACTCAAATCAAAGATAGCGAATAAACAGACGAGAAGCCCTAATAAAAGAAACTGATCAAAGAACTTCCAACCATATTTCATCGCAGATTTCTTAACAATCATTTCGGTCAGGACAAGCAGTGCACAATGTTGTAAGGACAAGAAATGGTTAGAAACTAAAATGTAAAAATAATGTGAAAAATAGCGAGACTAATGAGAATGCCTTTAGACATTGTATCCACAATTGCGATTCGAATACTCAACAAGTTACTGGAAAATTGGAAAAAAAAAATCAAATATAAAACAAACTTTCTCGCGTCTATTTAATGGAACTTGTTTGGATGAAGAACGAGAATTGTAATTGTTATCACGAGCTTTCCTCTATGGAAGCGAGACTTTATAAACTTTATAAGCGCAGTACTAGATTAGCGGAAAGGTCTACACCATTTTACAGTTGAAATGGCTAGATATAACCGCAAGTTCTATCCTAACAGTTTCTTCAGGTGCACTTTTCGTTTGTGGAACTCTCTTCTGTCTTCTTGTTTCCCAATCAACTTTGATCTACAAATATTTAAATGCAATCGTAATCATTATCTTCTATTTTTTTTATTTCCCTTTCTGTCACTGTTCTCTCCCCTTAATAGTGTTTTTTTTTTTTCACATATTCTCTCACCCTCAGTAACCTCTTGTGTCTTAGGGGATTTATTGCCTTGCCTGGGATAAAATGATTAAAACATAACATGAGGTTGGACGAGGCTTGATTAAATCATTATTTCTTTTCTGCTACCTATTTTTCCTAGGGCTTACGGTCGCATCACATATGAACACCCATCCGCATATGATCACTGAAGTTAAGCAACGTTGAGCCTGGTCAGAATTTAGATGGGTGATCGTTTGGGAATATCAGGTGAATTAGCTTGGATGTGCGGGTGGTGTAAAGGATAACTGCACGAAATAAATTACGTACAAAACTTTTAGATTTCGGCATTAAACAACTAGAAGAGTTTGATATACGACTAAGCAAAAATCACCAGTAATTTTTGCTGATACTCCTTCTGATGTTCAAGTCATACTGATTTTGATATCTGGTAAAGCTATTTATGATTGTGTAGCTCCAGTCTATATCTACTGTATGTCTCTTTGTGTGAAGGATCGTTTTCTTTAAAATTCATAGGATTTATTCATTTGAAGCCATTTTAATTATTGATCTAAGAAAAACTATGTATACAGATGATAGTGTAGGCATTTCCGAATGAGCTGGACGCTATGCCTGATATCAGTATGAACGTTTACATCTGATGAGGCTATTTTTTTTTTAATCAATTCACTCCCAGCAAGGAAATAATGCCACTAAGACGCAAGTGGCTACTGGGAGTGAAAGATAAGAAAAATACTTTAGAAGCAACTAAAAGCCCAATCCTAAACAGGAAACAAGGGATAAATTTTTACTCCTGTTCAAAAGACCAGGGAGAAGTGTGAACCAGGCAATAGGTGAACCTATCTACTCCTACTGAGGTAAAAATAAATAAATAAATAAATAGTGAATAAAAGTTAAGAGTTTAGGGAGACGTTAAACTTATAGAGTTGAAGTAGATTTTAGAAGAAACAGGAAACCCAGTCGTAAATCAGAAAGAAGTGATAAACCTCTACTCACGTTAAAATATCCGGGGAGGAGTGTGAACCGGTCGATAGACGAACCCATCGACTACTATTAAAGAACATGAGTCTAGTTTCCATGACATTTTTTTGCCTTTGTAACATCTCAAATGACTGGACAAATGTACCCTGCTAAACTTGTGGTAAATGAAACATTAAACAAGCATTAAACAAACAATGATAGAAATATGACAAGTATGCGTCGTCTCACCGGATTTATTCAAAGGTTACAGAGCGGAGAAGAAGAAAGAAAGGAGGAGGAGTAGGGGGAGAAGGAGGAGGCGGAAAACAAAGAAGAAAATGGAGGAGAAGGAAGGAGAAGAGGAGGAGCAGGTGGAAGAAGAAGTGAAAAGAATAATGATAATAATAATGATGATAATAATCAGAAAAATAATGATAAGAAGAAGAAGGAGAAGAAAAAGAAAAAGAAGAAGAAGTAAAAGAAGAAGAAGAACAATAATAATAATAATAAGAAAATAATAATAATAATAATAAGTAGAAGAAGAATTAGAAGAAGAAGAAGAAGAAAAAGAAGAAGAAGAAGAAGAAGAAGAAGAAGAAGAAGAAGAAGAAAAGAAGAAGAAGAAGAAAAAGAAGAAGAAGAAGAAAAAGAAGAAGAAGAAGAAGAAGGGGATAAGAAGAAGAAAAAGAAGAAGAAGAAGGGGATGAGAAGAAGAAGAAGAAGAAGAAGAAAAAGAAGAAGAAGAAGAAGAAGAAAAGAAGAAGAAGAAGAAGAAGAAAAAGAAGAAGAAGAAGGGGATAAGAAGAAAAAAGAAGAAGAAGAAGGGGATGAGAAGAAGAAGAAGAAGAAGAAGAAAAAGAAAAGGGAGGAGAAGAAGAAGAAGAAGAAAAAGAAGACGAAGAAAAAGAAGAAGAAGAAGAAGAAGAAAAAGAAGACGAGCAAAAAGAAGAATAAGAAGAAAAAGAAGACGAAGAAGAAGAAGAAGAAGAAGAAGAAGAAGAAGAAGAAGAAAAAGAAGAAGAAGATACGCCCATAATCGGTGCTCGCATCACATAAAAGGCGTTGTGTTGCCACTTGATTAAATACCTAAGACCGATGAAGATGACTGCCCCTGGATCATATTTCAGCAAAACTAGTTTAGCAGCCCATTACTTCTGGGTGAAATTGATACGCACTGGGTGCCACCAGCTTATCTCCGTAAGAGAGGTGAACCTGCACAATACGATGTTAAAGTTATTAAGTATATCCATCACGCCTGGGCGGTCTTTCCAATCGACATAACCTGTTTTCCTCTCGAATGAGTCTACTGCAGTCATGTGAGATATTGATCACCTTCCCTCCGATCAGCAAACAAGCGTGATGATAGCGCAGTTGTCATCATCATCGGAAGTGAAGCCGGTGATTCAAGTTCGATTTCCGACCTAGTCATTCACGTTCACTGTCGTATAAATGCGAATAAATAAGTACGGTAAAACATCATTCTATTCGTTCTAATGCCAGTTGTGGGTCATAAACTGTGATCATTGCTCTCCACAACTTCCTAACCATTTTATCTCTAAGTAACGTTTTCATACTTACTATCTCTCGCAGCATCTCTTCTGCTAACCATTTACCTCTCAGGTAGGTTACTGTCTTTTTTTTTTCAACTCTTCATGCCTTCAATAAGTCCTGTAAGTGTCGAAGTCTCCAAGCCTTCCTGTCGCTCTGTCGGCTGGGGCTTTAGAATACGCCGACTGCACCACTGCAGATGGGTAAGACCACACCCAAATGAAACGTCCTGGGCAAGACGATAAACTACATCCGACTGCAAGGCCTCTGATCAGGATGATTTTGAGGAGAGTGAAACCACTTCCTAAATGCTGGTGTTCCTAGGTGCACCTGGGCCCATGATGCTAGCATCTGTTAGGGTCCCAGCTATGGGTAAATAGTTAACCCCCAAACTTGGGTCAAAACGCTATGAAAGTGTAAAAATACGTTTTAATACCAGCAATACACTTTTGTAAAAAATTATTAGCAGCAATGGATTTTGAAGGAAAAATTATTACCAGCAGTATATTTTTTGAAAAATATTAGCAGCAAATATTACCATTTTTTTGAAAATATTACCAGCAATATATTTTTTGAAAAATATTACCAGCAATATATTTTTTGAAAAATATTACCAGCAATATATTTTTTGAAAAATTATTACCAGCAATATATTTTTTGAAAAATATTACCAGCAGTATATTTTTTGAAAAATATTACCAGCAATATATTTTTTGAAAAATATTACCAGCAATATATTTTTTGAAAAATATTACCAGCAGTATACTTTTTGAAAAATATTACCAGCAATAAAAATCTTGTCGGCATTAAATAAGTCATTGAGGTTCATGTGCCGTAAAACAAAACAAATCAAACCAAACCAAGCTATCCTGCCTCATTGTGTCTTGAAAAATTCAGCTGTCTCTTTTTTTTTGAATTCGCAGGACGATAGACCTAATATTCACCGTTTAATAAATAAAAAAGTGTATCTATTTCAAATACGAATTATCTACTATAATAACGTTTGATGTTATATATATATATATATATATATATATATATATATAATTATATATATATATATGCAATTTTAATTTCAATTATAGATAAATTTTAATTGAATCATTCATTCAAAAAAAAACAATACAGAGGTTAATGATTTAAATGGCGAGAATACATCTTCGCAAACAATATAAATAAGATACACCAACCCCAAACCTGTATATGAATGATATGATCCCTGTTTATAAATTCCAGTTTCATAAGGTCTTTTTAATTTTTACAAGCTTTCGTCTGTTCCTACAGACATCCTCAGGTATGGAAATAGATTTTGTTCTTGTTTTTACTTCTTGGTAATAAGAGGACAACGAAAATATAGATGTAATCCGAAAAAATGCTATGAGAAATGTGTTATTATTTTGGAACGTGCGGTCGCAACGCTGAGTTTGAATTTTAAATTTTAAATTAAAAAAAAAAAATTAAAAAGACCTTATGCAACTGGAATTTATAAACAGGGATCATATCATTCATATACAGGTTCAGGGTTGGTGTATCTTATTGATATTGTTCGCGTAGATGTATTCTCGCCATTTAAATCATTAACCTCTATATTTGTTTTTTGTATGAATGATTCATGAAATATATATATATATATATATATATATATATATATATGTGTGTGTGTGTGTGTGTGAGTGTACCGTAATTCCCTAATTCCCCATGTATAATACGCTTTCATCCATAATACGCAACCCTAAAATTGTGCTGAATATGTCGGGAAAATGCTTCTACTCATGCATAATACGCACCTCTTGTTTGGTAATCAAACCCTATAAATTGTACCTTTCCAATTTCAACATACCACATATGGAGAGAGAAGGGAAATCACCGTCCCCTGTGGGATCATGTTGAGATCATAGACATGGAACAACATTGGAAAATTCGTAAACTTAAGGAATCAGCACATATGCTAGGCCACAAATATCTCCTGAGCCGACCAAGCATAGAAATAAATACAATATGGGAACCAGTAATAAGGAGTGCCAGAGAAAAGCAATGATAACAAAGTTGCAATATGAGCTCTGGTAAAGACATGCAATGATAACAGCAAAAATTGCAATATGAGCACTGGTAAAAATGATGCTGAAAACATTAGGTTTATAATACTCAGAAGTTCACACCCAGATGTCCTCAAGGACACATGGCACAGTGAATAAAGGCGTTGGTTAGATCCAGTGACAGACCCAAAGAAGATGAGTTTAATTCTTGGTTAAGGCAGTGGAGAACTTTCAGAGGGAAAATTAGCAGGAGATAACTGACATCAAACATGGCACGTGGAACTAGAACAGTCTACCCCAGTGATCGAAATAAAGGGTTCAGTTCGAAATTCCAACCACCTGAAGAAGGCCGGAGTTACAACGGCCGAAACGTTGACAAAATATGGCGACAAAGATGAGGACAATAGTCCGACTAATGTAAATACTGTACATAATACCTCATCTCAGAAATATAGACAGACTCTGATGTTTTAGCTGTGCATAATACGCACCCCTAATTTTGCTTATTATTTTTTTAGAAAAAAATGGGTATTATACTTTGGAAATTACGGTATATATATACCGTAATTCCCATATATATATATATATGTGTGTGTATGTATGTATGTATATATCCTAGCTAGAGGCAACGTGACGTCTAGCCACACTGATGAGCGGTGATACAGTGAAACAGTCTGTCTGCGGATGACAATATATATATATATATATATATATATATATATATATATATATATATAAAAATATAGTTTTTTTTTTCGGTCAAAGTAAGAACAAGGTTATATAAAAGAGTGCTCCATACACAAGGTAAAAAAGAAAAACAAATGTGCAGAGCTATTAAATATTAAAGTCAAAGAATATTAGTCGCTTATACCACCATAGTTTCCACCGGTAAGGCTTCTTCAGGCAGTAGACTTTAATTGTATTTCCAAACGCTTTATTTATTTATTTGAACTCTCTCAATGGGAATTACGTTTGAGGGGAAGAAGAAAAGCAAAGGTAGTTGGAATGTAAGGGAGGGGGAGGGAGAGAAATTATATTATTAATAATAATAATCAGTGGGGGGTGCAAACAATATTGGTGGAATTTGTAATTGTGCAGGAGGTACAATATGTTTATAATTGGGGGAGAGTTTAAGCAATGGTAGAGGAAATGGAAGGAAGTCGGGGGGAGAATTTTTTTTAATAATAATGGAAGAGGCAAAGTAAGCGTATAACGAATTTAAGGAAGGGTGAGGAAGACAAAAATTAATAATAAGGGGAAGGTAACTGAAGAGTAGATGAAAAATAAGGAAGGGGGAGGAAAAAATTAAAGAATTTTTAAAAAGTGGAAAGGAAAAGCAAGAGTAGTGAGAATTTATGGTAGCGTGAGGAAGAAAATATATTAATATTAATAAGAGGGCAAAACGAGAATAGAGGGAATTTAAGGTAGGGGGAAAAAATGTATTAATATTAATGAGAGGGGCAAAGCCAGAATAGAGGGAATTTAAGGTAGGAGGAGGAAGAAAATATTAATATTAATGGCAGGGTCAAAGCAAGAGTAGGGGGAATTTAAGGTAGTGAGATTAAGAAAATATATTAATATTAATAAGAGGGCAAAGCAAGAATAGAGGGAATTTAAGGTAGGGGGAGGAAGAAAATATATTAATATTAATAAGAGGGCAAAACGAGAATAGAGGGAATTTAAGGTAGGGGGGGGAAGAAAATATATTAGTATTAATAAGATAGGCAAAGCAAGAATAGAGGGAATTTAAGGTAGGGGGAGGAAGAAAATGTATTAATATTAATGAGAGGGGCAAAGCCAGAATAGAGGGAATTTAAGGTAGGAGGAGGAAGAAAATATAAATATTAATGGCAGGGTCAAAGCAAGAGTAGGGGGAATTTAAGGTAGTGAGAGTAAGAAAATGTATTAATATTAATAAGACGGCAAAGCAAGAATAGAGGGAATTTAAGGTAGGGGGAGGAAGAAAATATATTAATATTAATAAGAAGGCAAAGCAAGAATAGAGGGAATTTAAAGTAAGGAGGAAGAAAATATATTAATATTAATAAGAGGGGTAAAGCAAGAATAGCGGGAATTTAAGGTAGGGGGAGGAAGAATATATATTAGTATTAACAAGAGAGGCAAAGCAAGAATAGAGGGAATTTAAGGTAGGGGGGGGGGAAGAAAATGTGTTAATATTAATGAGAGGGGCAAAGCCAGAATAGAAGGAATATAAAGTAGGGGGAGAAAGAAAAATATATTAATATTAATGAGAGGGGTAGAGCAAGAGTATAGGTTATTGAAGAGGAGAGTGAAAAATACATGTATTTTTATCCGGGTTCATACAGGCCTAAAATGTATTTTAGAAAAATCCTTTTTTTTTTTTTCCTGCTCCTTATTTACTTTTCATCAACTCTTGTGTTACCCATTTTAAAGAGTATATTTATTTATTTTCGGCTACCAACCTCAATATTCGAGAAATCTTATGAGAGCAACATTCTATGGCTGCAACTGGATGCAACTGTACACAAATGCATTCAGATTGTGATCATATTTTCAAGGATTCTTGTTCACTTTTTCAAAGGATTTTCTCGTGACATGTACCTTATTTCTCTTTTGAATATCATGAATACCGAATTTGACAGATTGTCTCCGGCAATTACTTGCGAAATGAGCGAGATGAGATTGGACAAGATATGAAGCGAGAAAAAAAAGGCAAAAGGAATAATTTCAAACAAGCAAGTTATTGAAAAGAATTCAACAATATTTTGCATTTTAGTGCTTGTCAAATCAATGCGATGCCATCAATGTTTTTCATCCATCTGAATCTTGGCATGTATATTTCTATCTCTATCACTAGCTTTCATCTTATACACATCTACCTGTTAGTCAGTTCCTATCTATCTATCTATCTATCTATCTATCTATCTATCTATCTATTTATCTATCTATCTATTTATCTATCTATCTATCTATCTCATTCTCTTTCTGAGTATCTATATATCTTGGTGTCTGTCTATGTTCATTATCTATCTATCTATCTATCTATCTATCTATCTATCTATCTATCTATCTATCTATCTATCTATCTATTTTACTCTCTTTTCTTCCTTTCTATCTATCTATCTATCTATCTATATATATATATATATATATATATATATCTCATTCTCTTTCTGTGTATCTATGTATCTTGGTATCTGTCTATGTTCATATCTATCTATCTATCTATCTATCTATCTATCTATCTATCTATCTCTGCGTAACTATGTCTCTTGGTGTCTATCTATGTTCAAATATATCTATCTATCTATCTATCTATCTATCTATCTATCTATCTATCTATCACAGTTTCTACAATATGTCTCCGAATAATTTCTCTCTTTACTCATGTCTACCCTCTAATTAGCATTCTAATGTTTATCAGACTCAATGCTTATCTTAACCCATATCTCTTTCGACTGGTCAATCGATTTCTTTACATTCAAGTGATCGTGCCCTGTCTCCCCCCCACCCCACACACACATTTTGCGCCCGTACCGCTTCTTTCTATCCGGAAACAGTCCGAAAACAGCACCGTGCTCCCGTGTAGCAAAATTAATTACCGTTCCTCTTTCGACCCAAGATGCCACGTCTCGTGCGCCCATAGATAAAGCGAAAGCTGCTCTGAATCTTTTATGAGACAAGCGACGTGCTTCAATGGACAAACTAGTAATGAATCTTTGAGACACATTCTGAATTTCTCTGTGTGTCCATTTGTATAGCTACTTGCTAAAAAAAAAAAAACTAATATGACACGAAGACACAAATAGGGGTCACTCAATCAGAATCTACTATGTACTATGTGACCCATCTCAGATGATGGCAAAAATACACTTTCGTGATGCTTGTTCTTATGAAAAGTTGAATGCAGCGGCTGTTTGATCTGCAAGATGAGCTTTCAACGACCAAGTGCAGATCTGCATTCACATTCTGTTAATCGATACCTGCACATATGCAAGGTTGCGATGGATGAATTGTCGTTTAAATTACGCAAAAATGAAAGCCAAACTAACATATTTTAACAGATACTAGCAGCATGGCTATCACTTGTCTTAAAATATTTCTGCCCTTCCTTGCCTTTAAAGGAGTGCCCTTTGCCGTGCTGATGTTGCTACATGCCTTACTTCTTGCCTATCTCACACTGCAAATTTTTTCTAAGCTCTATACTAAACATTAAATCTGTTACAAAAAAAGAACGAAACAAAATTAACACAAAACGATCAGATTTAAAAAAGGACTCGTAACTGGAAAAACCGAATGAAAAAAGAATGTTAACAAATACTTTTTCACACCCAACCCAGTTCTGCGGAATCAGAATCAACGTTGAGTTTAAGCAAGCGAATGAGCCAATTGGAGTAAAGTGCCACGCAGATTTAAATTTTTCCAACTTGTGAAGAATGCAGCTATCGGATAATTTTTTGCATGCTAGCATGCTAGTTAACATTCGTGTCAGTCAGCTGTTGGCTATCACGCTGGCCAATAGTATCTTCCTGCCTATTCGTGGCAGCCAGCTATAGGCTCTCACTCTGGCCAGTAGAAAATGGCCGCAAACTAGATGAAAACTGCCGTAGAAGCATGAAAAAATCGATTATTTCCACTATCGATGGAAGTTGGGAAATGCAACGTCGGTCTTGGCCTTCCCGCTCACTTGGAGCATGTGCATGTAAATTTTGGTGCAAATCCGTCGAAAATTGCGGCCGTGCATTCACACACACACACACACACACACACACACACACACACACACACACACACACACACACACATCCTGCCTTTTATAGATAGAGATATACGATAATTGCACAGAAATAACTTGAAATGCTAAAGTGTAAATTTATTCAATAAAATCGACATTGCCTGCAACCAGGGCTCCCAGACGACTTCGGAATCTCCTGCAACTCTTCTGGACGATGTCCTTCTTTAAGTTGATGAATTCTGCCATCATCCTTGCCTTTAGTTCATCTTTGGTGTTACAAGAAGTTTTGTTGGTCTCTGGCTCAACTGCGCCCCACACATACTAATCAAGCGGGTTGCAGTCTGGGAAGTTAGGTGGCTGGGTGAAGGAATGACTTGTTAATTTTAACGCCTACAAAATTAAACTTCTTTCTATGAATCACCTGAGAGATCCCTTCTTGCCTTTCCATCCGCATGGCTGATGCTAAACTCCCTGCGTTGCTCTTTATCGGTCCAACATTCTCGGCTGATATGAAGTGGAAAAGTTATTTTGAGTCCATTGCTAGGTCTGCTGGTAAGAAAGTTAGTTCACTGTGTCGTGCAAGACAATTTTATCTCTCCTGAATCTATCTTACATATGTATAAGTTTAACTTTCGTTCATGCCTTGCATATTGTCCCCACATATGATCTGGTACTCCTGTTGTATATTTAGAGATTCTTGATAAAATCCAAAGAAGAATCAGTAATATTATTGGTCCTGATCTGGCATCTCGGGTTCAGTCAATTTTCCACTGGTGTAAGGTTGATTCACTATACCTTATCTATAAATACGTCCATGGCAACTCTTTGGATGAACTCTAAACTATGGTACCCAGACTTGATGGATTTAAGCGAAGAATTAGATTAGCATCAATGCCTCACCAATTCAATGCTGAATTGGTTAGATGTAACCATAAATTCTATGTAAAAATTTATTGTCCCCCTCCTGGTTCCATGCTTTCCTGCCAACTTTGATTTTCAGAAATTCAAATGCAATGTGAATCGTTATCTGCTGTCTACTTGATTACACTTTTTTGTATTGTTATCGCCCCTTTACAATGTTTATCTTTTTTTCTTATTCTTCCAAACTCAGTAACCCCTTGTATCTTAGTGAATTTACTGCTTTGCATGGGGTGATTTCGTAAAATACTGATATAATGGAATATGCATACACCTGAGTTCCCCCTCACTGGAATATGATTGACTGGTGTCCGTCATAAATGCAGACGGACGTGTAGGTACGGCAGAGTTTAAGTCTATGACGACGCCCATTGGGCTACACCATTGGCTATCCTATTGGTCTACACCTATTACCTGCGACTACGACGAGTACCAGTCGATTACTGCTACCGTATTCTACCTGGTTATAGTAGCTAAAACCACTTAGCTACTTCGATCAAATATATCCCTTTTCGGGACATATAAGAAAGAAAGAAAGAAAGAAAGAAAGAAAGGGAAACGGAAATAAGAAAAAAGAGAAATTATTGAAGGATTGAGTAAAAGAAAGAAACAAAGAAACAAAGTGAGAAAAAAAAGAAAGCAAGAAAGAAGGAACTAAAGAGAGATGAAAAACAGAAAGAAAGAAAACGAATGGCAAACTGAGGTATGAAATAAGAAATAAATAAATGAAAGAAAATGAAGAGAATGAACTGAGAGATGGAAAAGAAAAGAAAGAAAACACAAAGGAATGAAAGCCAACAAAAGAAAAAGAAAGAAAGAAATCGAAAAAGCATGCGAAATAAGAAAGTATAATAATAATAATAATGGGGTGAAGAAAAAGATGATGGTGAATAGAATGGAGAAGTAGAAAATGAAGAAGATGAGGATAAAGAAGAAGGAAAAGGCAGAGGGGAATAATAATAATAATAATAATAATAATAATAATAATAATAATAATAAAATAAATAGAAAATGCAAGTTTCTGAAGCTTAAAAAATATCCACTTCTCATATGTGTAATTATGTCTATGCATGCATATATACCGACTCAAAGAAAGTGATATAATGGAATATGCGTACACCTGTGTTCTCCCTCACTGGAATATGATTGGCTGGTGTCCGTCATAAATACCGACGGACGTGTAGGAGAGTCAAAGAGAGCCTTAGTCTGAGAGCTAAGTCTATAACGTCACCCATTGGACTACGCCATTGATCTACACTTCTTACCTGCGACTACGACGCGTACCAGTCGATCACAGGCAAAGTGGCAGACAGATGCTAGATCTTAGTCAGAGATCACCAGTAAGTAACAATGGTTCGGGGCACCCTAATTGTTTCCCCTAGTCCAGAATCCATTGTCGGGTGTAGTTTTAGGTAGTCTCTCTCTCTCTCTCTCTCTCTCTATATATATATATATATATATATATATATATATATATATATATATATATATATATATATATATGCCGAGTGTAAGAGCAATATTATCAAAATCGTGTAAAAGCATGGGATAACTGTCCATCCCACAAAAAGTTTAATATCTAAAATAAAGACTAAACTAATTGAGTTTCTTTATTCAAGATTTTTAGATAAGATGTTTAGCCATCTTGACACCATTTGTCGTAAGAATCCCTGAAAAACCCTTTCAGTTATTCAGCTAGAAAGAGAACAGGTTAAAATCAGTTTGTGTCAACCCCACTATATCTTCACAATTGAGCAATGGTGAGAGAAAAAAGATCCTTCAGGCCTTCAGTAATGGTATTGACATTCATACTCTGGCTTCCATTTTCAAAGTCCATTCCAGAACCATCAAGCGAACGGTGAATAAGTTTAAAAAAGAGGGAACAGCAGAGAGGAAAACTGGACCAGGAGGACACAAGAGGAATAGAGATCATCATTTCATCTTAGAGCTAAATACATTCTTGTTGCTCAAAGTAGAGTCCAATCGTTTTATAAAAAAAAAACTCAAGGAATTCCAGTAAGATATCTTTAATCATTTATAAGATGTAACGGTTCCAAGCTTAATGTAACAATTGGAAAAGTTTGGTGTTACACGATTTGGACAATTTTGCTGTTACACCCGGTATATGTGTGTCTGTGCATATGTATGTGCGTATGTCCATGTGTCTCTGTGTTTGTATGTGTGTGTGAGTGTGAGAAATTGGTGTTCAAATTTTTACCATGGTCGATTTGTCAATTAAATGCCGTCTTGATGTTTTCTGCTTGAAGAGGCTATCCAGTTGGAATGTACCTATTTGAGCCAGGTTTTATAAGTGAAATTTGCCAGACGAAACGTGTTTGGAAGGCGTCGATATTTGAAGCCATCATAAATGATGGTCTGGGCTTAGTCACCTCGTTCAACAATGTCCTTAATCACGCCAAATTATGTGCTCTTCCCGAGAGAAGGCCGGAGACTATTTTGATAACTATATTTGAAATTCTGGTACATTAGTGTTCATCATAGTATAATATCTTATACTTAAATGGGTCTTGCGTTTTGAACGAGACATTAATCTCGTAGCTAATTGGCGACAAAAAATATTTTTTAACAAGAAAATATTTATCGTCCCCTATAATCTCTTTTAATAAGAAATTAATTTAATACAGCCGTGAATATATTTGACGATCAAACTTTGGTTGAAATGACTTAAACAGAACATTACACAATAAGAATTTTATATCACCATTCATTTTATAACTGTGTCAGGCTGCGAGCTTATCGATCTATCCTCGAGTCTTGCGCATGCGTGCGCCTGCGCATGCGTGCGTCTGAGCATGAGGTATAAAACGAACCCGGGTTCATTTTACTTAATGCAAAAGCTTCCAGTGGAAAGAGCTCGATAGAAAACATGCAACAATATTTTTCTTATTCCGATATTTCACGTTATCAATGATACTTTGGTGCGTGCAGTGGAGAACAAGGAACGCGTTCTGCAGTACAGGTTATAAACTTGTTAACTTTAAGGAAGGAGGGTGTTTGATGGTCAAACATTGGTTGGAAAACAAAGGAAAAAGCTGCCTAACAAAAGATGTCTCCAGAAGTCTCGGTTTATTATTAGTGAGAATTATTGAGTTGATTTTAGGACAGAAATTCACAGCGGTTTGATATTTCAACGGAGAACGTCTATCGCTCTCAAACTGTTTCTTTTCCTTCCTTCCTTCCTTTCTTTCTTTCTTTCTTTCTTTCTTTCTTTCTTTCTTTCTTTCTTTGTACACGCATCTCCTATTACTATATATCTACGTTAATCTCTCTCGCTCTTTATCTATCTATCTGTTCACATCTATATATCATTTCCATTGTATGCCCGCCACCTCCCAGGTTATCGTTTCATCGGTCACGAATCGAATTGCCGCCGAGTGCCTGTTCTTCCCGCGTGAGATTTAAATATATCTTTTTTTTTATCTATCTATATAGCTATCTAATTCTCTTCTTGTGCATCGATCTATGTTCATTTCACTATATATGCCATTACTATATATATGTCTATATTTATCTCTTTCTATCTCATTATCTATCTATCTATCTATCTATCTATCTATCTATCTATCTATCTATCTATTATAGTGGAACACACCTATTCTATAGTTAATAGACCCTCCCACCTATAATAAGTAGGAGTAGTAAGAGTAACGGGGGAGTCAGTCAGTCGTTCACTTCTGAATCGACTGTTCGGTTGAACTCTCTGCCTTGAACCTTGAGGAACCCAAACGAGGCTACGCCGAGGGGCGGAGTCTCGTTCGGGGAGGTAAACCGGCCGTGAGCCCGTTTATACTGGTTCAATGGACATATTTTTGGGCCGAGCCCACGGGCTCGGAGAACCCACAATAAATAACCGACCTTGTGTCACATGTTGCCCCAGGGGGGGGCTGTATATCGTCAGTCAGACGGTCAGTCAGTCGATGTCGGACGACAGCTAGTCGAATACGAAAGTATCAGCGACCACAAATAGATTACTCTGCGTAATACTTATTATATCAAGTTCCTAACGTTTTGTACGTCGAACCTATTTTAGGACCGACTTAGTACAAATACAAGCCTCCACTGTGAAATCACTCCACAAGACTATCTCACCCTGTTCATATATGTCTATCTATTAAACACATATTTCTGATTAGACAACTAAAACTTTACGGACACATAACATTGAAACACCGAACCTGCGCAGTACGTTGATGGATGACGGCTTGGAAGCAGCAGGTGTTGTAAGTTTGGTTGTGGGTGTGACGTAATGGCTAACGTCTTGGAATTGGAAATCGATGGGCCGATTTTCAAATCCTTCGGCGAAGGAACCAACTGGAAAGGGAAGAATCTGCCTCTTCGCACTCCAAGCTATCGGTTAATTAGTACTTCTTTTCATATCCCCAAAATTCTTGGAATCTAAAAATGTTTTCTGGCTTTAAGTAACCGGCGAAGGTTGATAGGCCGTAAAAACAGATCAATGAATCGATAACCAAAAACAGTCATCAATCCAGAGATAATACTTCATATCACTTCAAATACAAAATTCTGTTGTTGAACGGGACGGCATATGCGTCTAAAACAGAGGTCGGCAACACATTCGACCCCGCGGGTCGGATCGTGTTATAATCACGGGTCGCGGGCCGGACGAAGGCCATTAATGAAAAATTAAGGAAAATTACATGTGAAGACCCCTGTCAACCAGGTCACTTTGCATATTGAAAACCGGACAGATAGTAATTCCTTCGTAGACCTGGCGGAGCCAATCCCTCTCCAGGGCAAACCACAACGGAAGTTCTCCGATTTGAAGGTTTATCTTGATCGCGAACACGTGGTCGTCTATTCCATCGAGAGAAACCTCTACCCAGGCCGTTGACTTCAGCCTAGGAAGTTCTCCATCCGCCCATAAATCCCCTGTCATCACGGCTGCATATATAGCTACCGTGTCCAGTTTATTCTATTGTGCTAGATAGTCGTAGACCCTAGGGCAGGGGTCGGAAACTCATTCGACCCCGCTGGCCGGATCGTGTTATATTGACGCGTCGCGGGCCGGACGAAGGCCATTAATGAAAAATGAAGGAAAATTACATATGCAGACCACATGTCAACCTAAATATTTAAAACCATAATGAAAATAAACATTGAGAAATCAGAAAAAAACAAAAGAAAATCCAAAATTAAAAAACACCTAACAAAAATTACTTTTTCTCAAGGAACATCAAAATACTTCAAAGTGAAAAAAATCAACTGAAGTGAAATGGATGAAATTATGACGTGTAGGTTTGAAACTGTTATTGAAAATTGTTCCACAAAAGAAGCACACACACACACATCAAACAAAAACGAAGCACATATACCCATACATACGAGTACAAATAGTTGCAAACATATACATTTACGTACGTACACATGCGGTATGATCCACACATTTATGAGGCATGTATGTATAATGCGCGTATGTTTAACTGTCTTTAGATTTCTGCTACCTCGCATGTCACAGTCCCTCCCTCGCCTCTTTCACTTTATCGTTCCTTTCGCTTCTGTTATCTTTTAATGTAGCCAAGGGTCATAAAAAATATGAAAGCCTCGTTTCTCATGTTAAAAATATGAAGGCCTTGTCTCTCATGTTAAAAATAGAGTCATTGGTAATCAGGATCGCGGGCCGGTCAAAATGCCTTCGGGGGCCGGTCAGAATGCCTTCGCGGGCCGGTCAGAATGCCTTCGCGGGCCGGATCCGCCCCGCGGGCCGTAGGTTGCCGACCTTTGGTCTAAAATAAGGTAAAATCCTAGAGTGTTGCATTAGTTAATTGTAAGCCTAAACTTTCCAACAATTGCCGTCATTTTTGAAGACATGCGTACACTCATAATTAATTAATTAATTAATTAATTAAGGAGTCTTACTACTTTTCAATTGTTTAAGTAATTCGGTGCAGTTTTAGGAAAATCTAATTAAACTATTTTGAAATTATTTAGATAATTCCTTACATTTCTTTTACAATTTCGCCTGACTAATTTGTAATCATATGATGAAAAGGGAAACAACAATGCGGGAACGTTGAGGAAATAAGATCAAAACTAGTGCTGCCCGTCCTGATATTCTAAATTTATATTTAAAAAAATTATTTCCTATATGACTGCTCTCTCTGTCTCTGTCTCTGTTTCTCTGTCTGTCTGTCTGTCTGTCACTCTCTCTCTCTCTACATGTATATATTATGAATTAATTGATTTAAAATATGTTTTTTTTCGCTACACAGTTCTAACCATGTTTCAAAAATGGAAGCTAAAAGCTTTGAATTTAATTTTGTAATTAAATTAAAGACATTAGTTCCATTTCATCCTCAAGCGTATTTTGGAGTAACTTTTAAAATTACTGGGTTTTAAAGGCACAGCAAAAAATCATAATTCACGTTTCCAAGGTTACAGAGAAATCTATTCCTCCAGACATATATATCTTACTGCTTTTCTTTATATATATATATATATATATATATATATATATATATATATATATATATATATATATATATTACAAGTAATTGATCCATTGGTATATAATCCGGGTGGATCCTAGTAATATTGATTATTAAAACTAATCCACAGAGAGCTCTCGATGTTTTCATTTTAACAGAACATATGTATTTTCTACAGAAAAAAAAAAAAAAAAAAAAACCCCAAAACCTCAAAATAGTTATAATCTATTTCAAACCGTTCTTCATACGGCTATCGTCAGCCTCTAAGTGCTTGTCTTGGAGCGTCGTTCTAAATTTATTTTCAAAGTCTTCCTCTAGTCGGCGCATTGTTAATGAGAGAGGGTTTGTGTTTAGTATCTTATCCCGGGGGAAGCAGTCTCTGTTTGGAGTTTATTTATGAGGTAGGATTTTTGTTTGTAGCTTAATATCAGTTCCTACTATGTGGTGCTTCTTGTAACGGCCCCGAAGTGTGTTTTTCTAAGATTCTAGGATCAGATTTTTGTACTACAAAGCGATGGAGGATTTAAATTTAAGTCCGTTAAGTTATGAGGTAATTTCGGATTTTGTTGTGTAATGCTATCTATCTATCTATCTATCTATCTATCTATCTATCTATCTATCTATCTATCTATCTATCTATCTATCTGTCTGTGTGTGTGTGCGTGTGTGTTGGCGCCAAGGTTACGTTTATTTCACGTGTTCTTTAAATGTAAAGACGAATATTTTTTCGTTTAAAATATGATTGAATATTGACAAGGCAGATATAAATTTCTTCCATACAAACACGATAATTAAAAAAAAAACTTTATCGACAAAACATTGCGTATATATGTCAATTTTTAAAAAGTTAAATTAACAATAAATAAAACAGGTAAAATAATTATATAAGTTTGGTTTTAAAATATTTTACGCAAACGTTACTGCTGTTATGTTGTTGGTATATATATATATATATATATATATATATATATATATATATATATATATATATATATATTTCAATATATATATATATATATATATATATATATATATATATATATATATATATCGATTTCAATATATATATATATATGAACAAAAAGACAAGAGGACAGACTATTTTAGCCGATGCGTTCCTTCGTCCTCTAAGGGACTTTATCAAAGTAATGTGATAAGATTAATGCATCAGCTAAGAATAGTTTTTTCCTCTTGTCTTTTTTACATTTTCAGACACACTATCTGAAAGTAATGCACACAAACACACACAAACACACACACACAAACACACACACACACATACATATATATATATATATATATATATATATATATATATATATATATATATATATATAGGGTGAATGAAAAATACTGTTACAAATTTTGGTGAAGTGTTCCTCACACCAAAAGAAGGACAAAGGTCCATATATAAACATATGTCCGCAAATCCTTCGTTTTTGAGCTATTAATATCGCACGTCGAATTTCATACGAAAACGCACTCTGGGCGTTAAGCGTTATAATATAAACGTTCTCGTGGCGTTGATTTAAAATCGTGCGTTAAGACTTGTTCAGGTTATTATTGTTGTCTATAATATATAAATTAATTATTTATTATTTATATCGATCAAAGTCTCAGAGTCGAAAGACGAATAATTAAAAAAAAATATTTTAAATAATTTAAAAAAGAAATTGAATTTACGTAAACACGCTATGTATCAAGGGGATTACTCCTCTTTTGCATAAAAACTGTCATTAGTTGTAATAGAAATAATTGTTGTTTATTAAAATATTAAAATATTATCTTATGAAATAAAATTAACTCTCACAATGTTAACTTAATTATAGGTTAAAAAGATATATATATAAAAAGCATGTGGAACCTAGCCTTATACTTAGAAAAATAATATTATATATACACACATCATAAAATAATAAAGTACGATCTGTAATATGAACAAAAATATAAAAAATGGTATTAATGATAGATGCTATGAATATTAATAGGTTTTATATTAATATTCCTAAAATATATTTTAAAATCTATTTTAATCTTATTTCAAAACCTTATTTTAATTTAAATAACCCTAATTCGCAGAACAAAAGGAGTGAATTGATCACACCATGTATACCTAAACCTAAGCATCTGCTCAAGTAGATTGAGCCCGATTAAAGTATAT